ACTCTTATTAATAATTAAATAGAGATCATATCTAATGATTTAGGGTTATTATTTGCCCTGGACAATAGCATGTAAGAACCTGATGTTTTTGGTATTATTTCCCCTGGACAATAGCATGTAAGAACCTGATGTTTTTGGTATAAATGTACATGTAAAAACTTTGGTTCCTGTCTTCTGGCTCTTATTAAGATGGACCTTGGGATTTCAGATTATGGAGTTGAACCCTTAATACCAATCACTAAGAGGAAAAAAAGATAATAGCATTGTTGTATTTATTAATCTTTTCTTTGAATTTCCCATATTGGCTTTATATTTTTTTCTTCCAATATTTGTCCCATAAATATTTCATATATTGAAATTAGTCTCTCAAATAATTGAATTTGTTATTTAGTCCCTCAATCCTGTTTGTTATTTCAGTAGTCCCTCTAGTTAGCTGTTGTTTAATTTGGGGGAATATTCTATTTAACTTCACTTTTTCTCATGGTTCTGGTTATACCCTTATTTTGAGTTAATAAAAACCCAGCCCGTTCAAACCCCAAATGGTTATTCCTTTGCCGTAACCCATTTTACAGCAGCTCTCTCTCCTCTCAATCTATAAAATCCCCTAGAGACCTTCCATAAATCCATCTGAAACCTTAAATCTTAAGTATACATTTAACTCACCATGTTGGATTAATCAATAACCAAACTTGAGTTAGGACATTGAACGTAAAAACTAATTGAGTGACTAATTTGAAATAAATAATGGGATTTGGAGGACCAATTAGCAAATTTTCAATGATTTAAGATACCAATTCAAATTATGTAAGGTTTAAGGGACCAATACCAAAAAACCCTATTTTTTATTTGTAATGTAAAATATGTTTAATTAGGAAGTTTGTCACACTATTTTTGAATGTTCACTAGAGTCCAGTGCTTAGTTGGTGATAAGATGATAGCTTAGCTATTTATTTAACACCGTTTTTTCAGGAATTGTTAGCCATCCAACAGCAAGGGCCTAGGGCGATTGGCTTCTTTGGGACCCGCAATATGGGATTCATGCATCAGCAGCTCATTGAGGTTCTTAGCTATGCTATGATAATAACGGTATGCTATTCATTCTTTGGAGCAATACTGGGCCAATAATGAGAGTTACGACCTAGGTTTTTTTTTGTCATGGATTTGAGCGATATGCCTAAGGTTTTGTATCCTTCTTCTTCATGTTGATATTTTTATTGGAATTGGAATAGTACAAAGTACTGAATCAAAAATAAATGTCCGCAAGTTGATTGGTTAATTCAATAAGAAATAGATGCACATTAGCAATCGATTCTGTTGGTACCGCCCAACTGAATTAGATTGAATCATTTACTCATTTAATGAGTCAATTTTTGAGTTCAACCAATTCTTTTACTATTTTAGCATTCTTGTTTTCTTTCCCTTTTGACTTTGTTCATTGATGGAGCTTCTTTCTCTGCAGAAAAACCATATTTTTACTTCAGGAGCATCAGGGACTAATGCAGCTGTTATTAGAGGAGCCCTCAGAGCAGAAAAACCGGAGCTACTTACTGTAATATTGCCACAGTCTCTCAAAATGCAACCACCTGAGAGCCAGGAGTTACTGTCTAAGGTAAGGAGTTTGCAATTTGTTTCTTTGAATATTGGATTAGGATATTGTCAGCAAAAAGTTATCTACATTTCTGTAGGCTTTTATGCCTTCACTTCCATTATTACTTAACTCCAATTTTTATGCTTGTTCAATTGCAACAATTGCAAGAGTAGGGTTTGTTAAGCTTGATGAGAAAGCCAGTCAGCTTTGTGGTACTCGTATGTCAAAGCCCAAACAAGAAAATTTAGAATTTGATTTTCTTTTATTTGAATATGTGGTGGATTATATATTCTTTGTAAATGCATTGCATTGGACTGTATATGGTTGCTGACTAGCCAGAGTAATTAATTGTTAAAGCTTGAGTTTGCCTGATATTGATTTTTGAAAATTTTTTTAAGAGAAAAGATAAGATTCATAGGTATTTTTTTTCAATGTAGAATTTTTGAAGGCTTGCTTGCATCTCACTTACCAGAATTTCAGTTACTAGCCTACTTATTTATGCTTGTTCTTATGACTGCAAAAACAAAGATGCCCTTCATCTTAGTTCATTAAGTTTGCACTTTTGGTTAGACTTGTATATTGGTCATCTTACCTGTTTCCTTCTAAACATTTTTATCCATTTTGCAGGTTCAAAACGTCATTGAGAAACCTCAGAATGATCATCTGCCATTGATTGAAGCTAGCAGGTTTGTATTTGAATTTATTTTTTAACCGTTCCCTGTACAAGTCATAAGGCATGACTTTATGAATGGGGTTTACATATGAAATTTCAGAACTTGTTTTATTTTGTTTTTATGCTTACCATCAAGTTAATTTCTCTACCCAGTCTGGGCCAAGAGCTGACTCGAGGTGCACAAAAAATATCCGTATCCGATGAAATACCCGAATCCGTAACCATTAGGATATTGATATGGTTTCTAAAATCTATAACTAATAGAATATAGTTACAGATGTGGTTACGTAGTGAAATATCCAGATCAGTATCCGAAATATCCAAATATATATTGGTCTTGCTGTTGCAACAATTTTAATCCTTAGATTAATTGATTTCAGTTTAATTTTAATGATCAAGATATCTACTCTTAGCTTTTCTGATATAACAAATATATTATTGAATTCTCTTGCATCCTATGAACTATATATATTATTTTTTAATATTATCTAGTTTTCTCGTATCCGTTTTGTATCCGCATGTGTATTCGCTTATATATTCGCGTGTTTATCTGTATCCACATCCAACTTTAGCAGACATGGATGCAAATTTTCCTTACAGAGGCATATCCATATTTGTATCCATGATCGGTAAGCAGATACGGATATGGTAAGTATAATATCCGAGCTTTATATGGACCTTACTCCTAGCTGTGACAATCAAGTATATGAAAAACAAAGCACAACCATAATACATTCCTAATGCAAAAAGATTTGCTTGTAACAATCAAATTTAACCACCAATTGCTATATATCCTAGCTGTTTGAGAGTTTCATTCCTATTGCATTTATAAGTTGCAACTTATAGGAACTTTTGACTCGTTACTAAAATTAGACTGAACTGATTTGAGTTGTTGTTAAGTTGGTATCAGTAATTATTACTAGGGTTATTGCACATATACCCCCTGCAATATTGTTGTTTTGATCTTGCTACCCCTATAGTTTCATTGTTGCAGATAGACCCCTGAGTTAAATTTTGGACTCTTTTTCTTGTGGTGAAATTTGTGTAGATATTGCCCCAGGGTGAAATTAGTGAGAGTCTGCATGAGGGTAAAAAGTAATAATAATAATAATAATAATAATAACCTGAGATGTCTATCTGTAAGAATGAAACTACATGGGTAATAAGTTCACAACAGTGATATTACAGGGTTCTATGTGCAATTAACCCTTATTACAATATATTCAACAATATCTTAAATACTTTAAGCCTTGACATGAATTATTTTGATGGACGTTATTTTGATGCATAATGTTGCTGCCATTATAGGTTATGCAACAGAGACATTCTCTCTCATGTGCAGCAAGTCATATGCTTTGCATTTCACGACAGCAGACTGCTCATGGAAACCTGTCAAGAAGCAAAAAGCCTCCGAAAGATTGTTACCCTCTTTTACTTAGATTAATCTTCATAGTTGATAACTGCCAATACTCTTTATTTATAGGGCAAAAAAAAAAAAGAAGGGCTGGGCTCCTTTCTGAGACATTTTTTCGTTCGTTTTTCTGTTGTCCTTCCAAACTCAATGAGGGAAAGTGATGTTGTTTTTGTGGTGGAGGGAGCCTGCTCTCATTGTTTTTATTCTTAATAATAGAAAGTTAGAATGGGCAAAGATTTTGTTTATATGAACATTGCAAGTAGGAAATTTGAATGTTAATTCTTGCGTGGTGCTTCTGGTCAGTTTGATTATTTTTGCAACAGTGTCTGAGGAGTTGTGGCTGGCTTGCATCAATTGGTTTCTTGTCTACATTACTATTGACATTTTATGTTTAAGTTATTATTTAGAGGGTTCTCAGTATGGTGACAAGATCTCAGGTTGTGTGTAAAGTTCCACATGCTGAAGTACAACCTGAATTTTCTCATCGAACTTGTGATATGTATCTTTCTAGAAAACAATTGATATTTGGTGTCGGATGCTAGTATAATGAACCTCTACGGTTTTATACTGAAAGTGGGGAGCTTGTATTTTTATTTTATTTTATTTTATGTTGAGGGACTAGTCTTCTGTTGTATTTGATGCGTGCATGAGACATCAACATGAGGTGCTAAACGTTGGAGTTTATTATGCATGTTCATGTTCTACCTCTTATGTGAGTTATTATTATTTTTTTTTTGAAGTATCATGTAAGGGCAATTTTTTTGTTTTGTTTTTTTAAGTGTGACTCGCATGAGATGGGATAATAGTACTAGATAATAGATAAAAGGGGGGGAAAATGTATAGAGATGTCTTTAGTTCATGGGGTTCTTCCCAATGAATTCAACAGATCTATTTCGGAATCTCCAAGCCTATGCATATTTTCAACTTAAACATTTTGTTAACGTCTCTTGAAATTATGCTTGAATTTGTTCTTTATATTCCTCTTCAATTTGTTTTCTGAAATAATAAGTTACATAATTTCACCCCAAAAACATATCCAAATATGGAGCAAAACCCCCCCAGGGAACATTAGCTAAAGTTTCATGATCAGTCTGCCAACAAAGTCACACGAAAAAGCCTATGCCATTTTTTACGTGTTATGGGCACTGTAACTCACAAAAGTTCATGAAGTCTCATGGTTTTACATCAAAAAAATCGAGTCCCTGACCAAATCTTTATCCACATGGAAAAAGCCTGTCATTCTACTTCTTACTCTTGAGCTGCCCATTCCAAAGAGGCTCAAGCTCTATCAACTTGTTAGTAATTAATAATATATCTGAAGCAATAACTAAGGTTCTTATTGATTGAATCAACATGTTCTTCCGTTAATTATTTGAAGGAAAAAAAACTCAAAGGAACATTCTACGACGTACTTACTTACGAGGGGAAATAAAATAAATTCACGAAATCTCACATTGTTCCTTTTTGCAATACCATGTTAAAAAATTGAAATAAAAGATTATGACCTCAGGAGATTGGGTTTCATTGGTCTTTTTGCAATATACCTGACGCTTTTACGACTATTATTAGAGAGCAAGGAGTAAGAATGCAGCATAGCCTCAGAATATAATTGGTAGCTGACCTGATGAATGAATGGAAGATCTAAAGCGAAAGAAAATTGAAATTATTTAATTAGCAATTTTTATGGCCATTAACATAGCTCAATGTGTTGAACTAATCAGTGTTTAGCAACCTAAACAACCCAAGAGTCATAGTGTGATATCCTAAATGGAAAGGAATCCTAAGAGTCAAAGTATAATAAGTGGGGTGGTATTCTAAGAGATGACTCTTTGTATTCTATGAAAGTAAATGTGTAGAGTTAATGTATGGAATATGAAGGGTCATGTATAAGTCTATATAAACCCATGAGTGAGAGAATTTGACATATGAAAAAAAAAAGAAAAGAAAAAAAAAGCACCAAATTCTCTATCTTTTTCTACATCTCTCTCTCGAATTCTCTATCATACTAGCCTTAGCCAAAGTTTTTCTTCACTACTCAGTTCAAAATTACAACAATGTAGAAGAAGATAGAGAATTTAGTGCTTTTGTTTTTTTTTTCTTTTTTGTAGAACCTAATCGTGCAGCTGATCGTAAAATGGAGAGTATTCAAATGACTATACCTCAAACGCTTTTTTTCCAGATACTGTAACTCCTTGTCAAGATCTTCAATGGCCTGTCGATGTGCCTGTGATGCCGTAGACTGGCTGCTTGTGTGAATCTGCACCAAAAACAAGAGATGTTATAAGTCCATTTTCTTTCCGTAGAAAATAAAATCTAATTCCGAATTACGTACAACTTCTCATTGCAGTGTCAAGTCCAAATGTTTTGTTCGCTAGCAACTCAAATTTAGCGTCTTTACGTAAGTACATTATTCCATAACAAATTAACAAATATTAAACAAAAAGATTGGTTCGTTTCAATACCTATTAAACAAATTAACAAATTAACAAATATTACAACTTCTCATTGCTCTTTCTTACAAACGATCAGTCCTGTGGTATTCGTATATCATTAAAGTACTATTAAAATAGAATGTCGAAAGTGAAAATAGTCATTGAATATTAACTATACGGTGAAAACCCTGTGTTATCAGTATCCATCATTATATATGCATATTATTTAGCAGACTACCTCATATTATTTATGCTGATTATATATCTCTTTCGTTAATTAATTAATCAGTTACTGTTTAAGCTTTTCTTAAATGCGAACTATACCGGTTAAGAAAATTTTATACCTAAATTTAAGGAATATTCTATATCGTTTATACTGACCATGAG